TTCTCCTACAGTGGGTGGCTCTTCATTCTCCCAGTCCCTGCCTTTGCCTTCTGCAGCTTGGGCGGTGAGGCTCGAGCACTTGCTGGTGAAGAATTTTTTGTTGTTGTTGTTGTTTGTTTTTAAATCTCCTATTATTCTTGCAGGTTTCTGATCCAAGTAGTTCCTTCTGATAGTTGCCATTTTCAGTTGATCTGTATTTGTAAAATGCTTTGTTAATGTGTTCTTTGCAGATGGTACAGTTGCATGTTGGGGAAGAAATGCAGTTTAGCACCATTGAAAGAGGAACTTCGAATCCAGGGGGTGAGTAAGTATATAGTCCGTGTGTATCCTGTATATGTTCTACACAATATATACTATGTTCCGATGCATGTGGGTAATTATTATTGAATTATTTTACTGAGTTTTTATTTACAAGAAGAAGCTGTGATTCCTTGTTAGGGAGGCACTCAAAGTGGTTGAGATTTAATTATTGTAGATTCAAAGCTGATAGCTAAGTAGCACATATCATCTCCAGATTTTTGTCTTTGTCACGTGTAGAAGCATGTCTTTGTCCATTCTAGAACATACAGGGTTTCTGCTTTAAAATAGCCTTAAAAAGGCTGTTGTAAAAAAAAAAAATTCTAGCTCTCTTTCCTCTTAGCTAACATGAAATCTAGCAATTTGATTGATAAAAGAAATTGTAACATTATTTAAGTGTCAGCATTGGTTTGTTTATGTTTAATCCTGGCAGCAAGTAAAATTGAGCCTTGTGCTACTATTCTCATGCAAGAAGGCTGTGCAAAGGACTTTTTTATGGCTTTCTGGAGGAAATGTAGTCTTCTGTAATTTCCATACAAAGAAAGTGATTGTGAGATCTGTCCTTGTGTATGGTGGAGAGTGGAAGGAAAGAGAGTGCATGGTGAAATCAATTCCCAGAAAGATGAACTACAGGCCGTAGGGAATGCGTAAACCGAATGCCAAAAGCAGATGCTGAGCTAGGCACAAAATTTCAAGTAACTGACTTTCTTCCCTATCCTTGGACTGTTGCACCTCAGTCTTAGTAAGGTGAGAAAAATCCTTGCGAACCTTGCATAGAAAAGGTGAGGTTTCCTTCTGTATTTTTCTTGAAATTACCAATATAATTTTGTTCAGGTTTGTAGTCTTTGTTGTATCAGAGCCGGGAATATGTTCATTGTAACCAAGCACATGCTGTGTTGTGGTTCAGGTTAGGATGCCGCATAAATGTTCCAGAAAGTCCACTCATTGTTCAAACGGTCTTGACCTTTACTGTATTTATTGGAAATTTTGATAAATTAGGAATCGAAAGGTGGGAAAAGTTCTAGCATAGAGACACCTTTTCCTCTCTGTTTTTGAAGGCATTTCTCAAAAGTAGCAGATTTGGGTTTTTTGTTTTTTTTTTTTTCCTTCTTTCTCTTTCTGGGCAGACCTGGGGCTTGTGCTCTGGATGATAATTCAAGGTGAGGTGGGATGGTTGGTATTTATCTTTGCTAGTGTTTAGTACATTCTCCATACCATACATAAATGCCTTACAGCATCCATGTATGGAAAGACTAGACAACACTAACATCTGAGTTTTACATTTAAAAGCAGTGTAAGTTCAGACTTGATTTTTTTGGGCAAATATAGAGAAGTATTTCTAGGCACGTTTCTGCCACCTGCAGACAGGTGAGTGGTTTGTTTTCCCAGCCTTTAGTTGCCTTTGTTCTGTGCTCATTTGCTACAGCAATGGGGTCAGTATTCAAATGTGGAACAGGAGCAGATTCTGAACAAGGAGAAAGGATGTGCTGTTTGCAGAATCAGAATGCAGATGTGTGTTACAGGTGTGCTGGATCACTGCACAAAAAGGGTCATGTTGTGTGTTGCTGAACTTGAAGCTCTGAAAGGGTACAAACACATGGCAGAGCAGAGATGGGAAATCCTGGGCACTGGTACCAGGCTTGGCACTGACCAACTTCAAGTGAAGCCATATCAGAAAGAATGTCCATTTCTGTCATGAGAAAATAACTCAATGCTAACTTTGTAATTTTTTTACATTTGAAAATGTGTGCAGTAAAACAGTGTTGTTTATTAATGTGAAACAAAGTTTTGCATTGCTTCTTTGCATAGGTTCCTAAAGTTACTCATACTGAATTCTGTCAAGGACGCACCATGAGATGGGCACTGGCATGGAGTTTCTATGATGACGTACAAGTACCTGTAAGTAGCTTAATTCTGGTTTGCTTGTGATTGTCTGTGCCTCTTATTTGAGGAAGGGCCTAATGAGCTGTAACTATTGTGAAACAAACTGTTCTCCTTCGGACTGGAACATTGGATGCGCTGGGCTGTATGGACAGTGGGATTTCTTAACTGGCTGGCAGTCTTCTGTTAGCAGTTGTTATGTGTGATTCATAAATGACCTATGTTTAAGGAGGAAAAAAAAAGCCTGTGCAGGAACTTCCTGTGGGTTTCAGTGAAAGTAAGGGTTGCTTGTAACAATACTTCAAATAGCAATTTAGTAGTATTAAAAATATGTTAAGTTTGGGGCTAAATTTGAACTTCAAGCTTCCCTCTGAGAACTTGGTTTTAATTTACTGTATAGATTCTGTTACCAAATAGATATGAACATGTTTAGCTCAGACTTGCTTGCATGAATGTAATTGGAGCTTGTTCACCTTAACTAATGTGAGCCAGTTGCTTTTTTGGATCCAGATTTACATATACTGTAAGATAGGTATAGACAGTAACCAAACTTACAGAAGATGCAAGTAAACCTTCAGTGAACTTGGATCAAAATGTGGATATTAGCACTTGACCTCTATTCCCAAGAGCAGCCGCACTTTCTCAGCTCACAGAGAACTAGTAGTTTGAAGGAACTAATAAAGCTTTTTGCCTAATGTCTGAAGATAAACTTCCTCTGTCCCTCAGGCTAGCGTAAAGTGCATGATCCTGTTAGCTGTTTTTAATCTAAAACTCTTTGGAGTGAAGTGAAACACAGGCCATGTCAATGACTGTTTAGTGGCTTACATTACACTCCTAATCCCCACGTCTTCTGAGTACAAAAGTCATCCCACTGATATTGCATGGCTTTGTAATGTTTTTTTCTTCCTTCTTGTAGTCACCTCCCTCTAAAAGAAGAAAATTAGAAAAACCACGAAAACCAATTACATTTATGGTCTTGGCTTCTACAGTCAAAGAGTTATCCATCAAAGCTGCAGCTATGGGCTGGGATGCTGTAGAAGCTATTGCTGTGGTTAGAGCCTGGGTAGAGAAGATTCTCACTGATCTGAAGGTACAGTATTAAGTATTATATGTTAAAACAACATCCTACTTGAAAGCATAACTGTGAGAAGATGGTATGAAGTTCTACTGTTTTCTGCAATAGGTTCAGCATAAGCGTGTTCCCTGTGGAAAGGATGAAGTTAGCCTGTTTGTGACTGCCATTGAAAACTCCTGGATTCATTTGAGGAGAAAGAAACGAGAGAGAATAAGGCAATTACGAGAACTTCCTCGAGCTTCTGAAGATATTCTGCAAGCAATGGAAGAGGAAAAAACCAGCCAGAAGAGTGTGAGCAACAATTCGGACTGTGAAAACCTCAAGACTGAAGACTCCGAAACGGGGTTTATGGCTCCTGATGAGGATGTTCACTTGACTGCAGGTGATGAGCTAATGGAAGAATCTGCTGCGAAAGACGAACACAGTGAGCACGTGAAGGAGGAGGAGACAGAAGCAAAGCAGGCAGAAACATCACTTGGCAAAGGTTCCAGTAATGCACAGGAGGAACCTTGCCCTTCAGAGGAAGCTAGCAATCTGACAGTTGAAAAAGAACAAAGTCCCAAAGAAACTAGTAGATGTTTTCTCTTTAAGTGTTTAATGAATGTGAAGAAAGAAGGAAATGATGTATTAGTAGAAATGCACTGGGTTGAAGGACAGAACAGAGACTTGATGAACCAGCTGTGCACATACTTACGGAACCAAATTCTTCGACTGGTTGCTAGTTAGCCCTTTTTCCTACTTTGGTAAAGTAAGTTAGTCCTCAAATTTTGTAAATGATTTTTAATGGATTAAAATTTTCAGTTAGCAACACCTGTTTTTTCCCCTTAAAAAAATGAGTAAAATGGAGATTAAAGTCCCCTTTAATATTTTAAATGGCTTTTTTAAAGCTGCAGGGAGTGCATGAAGTGTACTTCATTGGACATGAAGTGATGGGGAAGTAATAGATTTTGTGCTGCATTTGTAAAACTACATGTTAAAAGGAAACATGTCTAAGCTGTGAGCGTTTCAAATATCAACAGTGCTTATTCTGATCTTTTTTCTGGTGCGATAGAATTATATATTGTTACTAAGTAGAAATCTTTACTGAAATATTTTCTTCAATATTTTTTCAATACTAATGCAGAAAATGGTTAGTCTGCTGTGGGAATTGTTTTCTGCAGCGAGGAGTCTTCAACTAAGGATTTAAGTATGCCACACTTCCCTTTAATGCATTTAACCTTTGGTCTACAGAGTGGCAAGATGGATACATCCTCTAAGTGTCAATTCATTAAAATAATTGCTTTAGAAAAAACATATGTTGTACTTTCCTGGTGCTTGGGCTTTGAAACACAGAAGAGCCTACTATTAGCATCTGGTTTTGTAAACTTTGTTTTAACAACAAAATAAGCTCTTTGAGCTGCTTGGTTTAAAGAGGATTTAACGATGTTGACTGTTCATTAGACCATTCCTTACACTGATTCAAATATAATTGTCTGAAATGACAGCAGTATTCTTAAAGGATTTTGATTCCATTTAGTCTTAAGAGATTGCTTTAATGACAGGAATGAGACCATGTGCTCATCTTTGTGGGCCAGAAATTTTGTCCTTATGCAGGACAAAGATGGGTACAGAAGTTTTAGGCTGTTGCGAAGGAAGACAACTGGAAAGAAGGCTTTTGCTTCCACGCCTGACTCCTTTTCACCACCAGCCATTTTCCCGGTGTTTCTGGGCCAATGACCTGTTCCTGTGAGAAGTGAGGCTGAGGGACATGGGTCTTGGGTGCCTCAGAGAGGGTGCGTGTATGTGTTTGAGATAACGAGCACTGGTACTGTTTCACATGAAGTCAGCCTCCCAGGCTGTGATCCACTTCTCTGTAGAAATGTACAGAACATGGAGAGAAAGTTTTTCTGAGAGTGGAGTTTGTATGCGTGTGTTACCCAAAATACAAGATGCACTCCTGATGGACAGAAGGAAATACCGTGTATGTTCATGCTACTGGAACCACTTTGAATGTTCAGCCTTAGTTGTCAAGATTTCTGGAAAGATTAGTATGTTTTCTTAAGTTAAAATTAAAAGCAACTTAGAAAAGCCTTAATTTCCCCCCTCTGTTGTTAGCCATTGTGTATCATGCTACTTAGCACTTCTGCAGGTGATGGACAAAGACTTTTCATTTTTTGGGTATTGCAGAATTTTCACAGAACTGCTTCTGATATTCATGTCACTGGGGAGAGATGAAACTAGCCCTACTCTTTTAGAATCTGAAGAGGTTATTTTGGCTAGCTGAGCCATTAAAACCAGAAAGACCTTGTCCTTTGTGCTCTTCCCTGTTTATCATTTCAGTCTGTCTTTCTGCAAGGATGAAGCAGCTCTACAAGGTAAGCCTGTGTGCTTGTGGCATGCTTGTTTTGCTGAAGCAGACTGCATTATGTTGCTTCATTAATTACCTTTCACCTGTACGACGTGAATAACCCGCACTCCTGCGTATTGCTTAAACAGAGCCAGGTATTTTTACAAAGAAAACCAGTAGTCTGTGATTTGGATGACTGTTTTAGAAATTCAAATGTCGTCTTGGCATTTTATTTAAAACAAATGCTTTGACAAAGGTGAGTGTGGCACTTGGAAAGCTAATCCTGTGTTGGGAAAGAACAGCAATTAGAAATTGCAATTGGTGTATAATTGCAGAAGGAGCAATGCCGGGAGAGTTTTAAGTTACAGGGGCGTGCAGCCTGACCAGACGTCTCGGGCATGCCGGAGTGTCGTGGGTATCCAATTTGCTGCGGGAACATCCTCCCCACCCCGAGCACACGGAGGCGGCACCGCTCCCGCCCTTTCCCGGCTCCTGCTTAGGCCGCAGGTAGCGCGGCCGCCGCCCGGGAGGCTGCCCCCAGCC